AGGGTTTAGGGTTTGGGGGGCTTTCAGCCTTGAAAGCTTTTGCTTGCAGGCTTAATGTTGGTTGCTTTGGGATTGAGGATCCAGAAATTCGCGTGCCTCCTCAGCCAATACACAGGTGGCTTACGAAATATGCAGAATATAGCTTAAATGAGATGTCGATTCTTGAAAGTTTACATGTTCTCTCATTCAGGGGTGGTGGGCTTTCTGGGAGTTTGGATCAAACTGTAGAAATTCTCAAACACACACGGCAAAGCCGACCCCCGTGCCAGCAGTAGTAGGGGCTGACGCTACAGATTCCCTGACAGCCTTTCGTAGGATCTGCTACACTCTCATGTGCCAGAATCTCAGGCAGAAGCTCAAACCACGACGCTCCCCGCACCTGAGGCCCTTGAACCCTACAGTTCCAGAGCTGACCACCTGAGCCTATGCGTCAAATCCTCGAGCCAAATGCCCGAAAAACCCAAAACCCCTAAACCCTAAACCCTAAAAGCGAGCCCAGAGCAGCCTCTCGCGGTTGGCGCCGATGGCTTTCCCGACCTAGCATGCTTTCGCTCACAACAATCGCGGGGCGTGGCTATCTCATGCTTAGGATCTTCGGGACTTGGGGATTTCAGGGTTCGGTTTGCTAAGTGCGAACAGGGTGGACCCTACTATTAGCGAAATCAACACTGGAGGGAACAGACCTCATAGACTTCGCTACAGTAACCGCGGTACTCAGAGGTGAAACCTACTCCACACCTGCGTTTTTAAAGAACTAAAGCTTGAACCCTTAAACCCCCCGAACGCCCAAAACCCCTTGGAGGCTGCCTGCTGGATCGTCTCTTCCACATCTCCGCCGCCGCTGCTCTGCGTCAGCCTCTTCGCCAAACTATGTCGGGTTGCAGGCCCTCACGGTCTTGTGAGTCTTGGGATGATGAGGGTGATGGTGATGCCGATGCCGAAGACGATCATCAGATACTGATGATGCTGCTGCTCTCCGACAACTTGGCTTGTTGAGTCATGCCGAACTTTCGATCTCTACAGCCTGGACCTGCTAGAAAAGTCACCCACATCCCAAAGCCGCTCCAATTCGAAGTACCGAGGCCGGGTGCTTCCGCAGTGTTCGGCGGTTCTCGTCCCGGAGGCCAGTGTCCAGTATCTGGCGAACGCAGACTGAAAGATCCCTGAACCTAAGGAAGATTCCGAGAGTTCGGAGATTCTTCACAGAGAAAGCGTCGCCAAGAGTTGGAGTGGCGCAGGCATAGGGTGGACATGGGGCTTGAAGTTTCAGGTTTGCGGCTTCAGGAGCGGAGGGCTTGAGGAAACGAAGAGCCTTAGGCGTTCTTGGGGAAGCTTCCATCCGACTGTTTCTGAGTCGAAGTTTGGGTTACTGGGTTTCGGAAATCCCGAACCGTTTGCTCTAAACCGAGTACGTACTCCAGAGGCTCGCTGGCAATCCTGATCCAACAATCTCCACATCTTAACATTAAGCCTACGAAGTATGGGGGGCCTGGCTGCTTGCAATACGGATTAGGTGCAGCTTTCCATCATGCTCCGTTGGGGCCGGCTAAACTGCCTACTCTCATGTTGAGTACATCGCTAATGCATCGCTGCAGAACTAGCAGTCATTGAGGGAACCCGAAGAGAAGCCCTGCTACAAACATGTCAGGTCCCCTCACACCCACACCGTGCTCTGAACAAACTCAAGCTTCGGGCCGGAAGGTACCGCACCCTGACAAGCGGGATATTTCACATGCCGCAAGCAACCTGCGACATTGAGCAAAAGCTTCCTTCGGTGGTAAGCCGTGGAAGCCCTAACAACCTTCTAACAAAGCCCTTCAAACCCGGACACAAGCACCTAAATGTGCCAAGACCGCAGATTTGAAAGCCCCGAAAAAGAAGCCCGCGTCAACTAAACCCTAAACCCTAAACCCTAGACCCTAAACCCTAAACCCGACTAAACCCCTTATAGAAGCCCCTTAGCCCCAAATCCTTCGAAACCTGGCCTCCTGGACCAGGGCCGACTCGCGCCGCAGCGTGGGCTCCAGTGACTTCACCCGCTGTCGAAGTCGTCCCCACCTGATGAGTCTGGCTTTCAGGGGTTCTTTTTTTTTAACCACCTCTTTTCCTTCACCTGATAAGGAGTCCGGAATACCAGGGCTTAGGATTTCGAGTTTTGGGGTGTTGGGTCTAATGTTTTGTTTGGCCGTTGAATATTTTGGAGGAATTTTGGGGGGCGTGCTTGGGTTTAGCAAGTGGGTTTCAGTAGTAGGGGGTTTGAGGTTTTGGGGTTGAAGGGTTTCAGGTTTAGGTTCTTCGAGTTTAGTGTTTACCGGGTTCAGGGATGGACTCTTTGGGATTGCGGGTTTGGGGTATCTGATTTCCGGCTCTACTTCTTCTTTGGAGCTGGCGATGCTTCGGAACTCAATCTTTTGAAAACAACGAACTGCTGGTATAGCATAGGCGTGCTCATGACTTCTCGCGATCATGATGCAAACCGTGACCGACATACGTCACATGACTATGCTTAAGACAATGTACATGGATGATAAGGCTGATGATGAGGATGATGATGATGATGATGACGATGACGATGACGATGACGATGACGATGACGATGACGATGACGATGACGATGACGATGACGATGACGATGACGATGACGACGATGATTATGGTGGTGGTGATGGTGATGGTGATGGTGATGGTGATGGTGATGGTGATGGTGATGGTGATGGTGATGGTGATGGTGATGGTGATGGTGATGTTGATGGTGATGGTGATGATGGTGATGGTGATGATGATGATGATGATGATGATGATGATGATGATGGTGATGGTGCTGATTGCGGCTAGCAGGCTCACTAGAAATCCGAACAACAGTGCCAGTGTTCTTACCCTCTGGTTGCTGGTTCAGCTATCCTTTGTTTCTGACATGCCCTCCTGCTGACACTATTGCTGGCGCAACTGTACCTGCTACTGCAAGCCCGACTGATACTCCTAGACCGCCTGCTGGTAGATACCCTTCACCACCGTCACCGGGCTCCAACGGTGCTGTGCTCACTTAAGCCCCCTTCTGAAACCTGCAAACCTTCCCTAAACTCTAAGACCTAAACCCTAAACCCTAAACCCTAAACCCTAAACTCTAAACCCTAAACCCTAAACCCTAAACCTTCCCTAAACGTGCCAGCTTGGCTGGTCCAGCGCTAGGGAAACGATCTCGGCTTCCGCCGGTGGCAGCCTGGGCTCTGGAGATTGAAGCGGTGGCCGCGCTTTAGGCCTGATTATAGAGCTTTGGGGTTTAGGGTTTCAGGGTTTAGGGTTTAGGGTTTAGGGTTTAGGGTTTAGGGTTCAGGGTTTAGGGTTTAGGGTTTCAGGGGCATGGGATTCAAGGGTCTTGGGATTCAGGGTCTGGGGGCAATAGGGCTTCGAGCTCAGGGTTTTGGGATTGCGGCCTCATGGGTTTTGGAGGCGGTGGGTCAGGGGGCCAGGATTCGGAATTTAGGGTTTAGGGTTTAGGGTTTAGGGTTTAGGGTTTAGGGTTTAGGGTTTAGGGTTTAGGGATTCATCGGCTTCTCTTACACCGCTTCAAGCTTCCTGATGTTGGGCAGGACCACACGGCCTTTTTCTGAGCATCTGGCAGGAGATTCGGACTGGCAAGCACACGATTAGTGCCGGGGAGAGTTGTTAGCTTAGTTTAGTATTGAGTTTAGCCTAGTTTACTTCCGAAGGCAACTATCCAAAAGCCCCTATGCCCCAAAACCCCTAAACCCTGACCCCAACCCCAAACCCTGAATCCTAAACCCTAAACCCTAAACCCTAAACCCTAAACCCTAAACCCTAAACCGAACCCGAACCCTTGAGCCCTAAACCCTGAGCCCAAACCCTGAACCCTGAGCCCCCGGCTCACAGAGCAAGGAGAGGTCATCGCGCGGCCTGAGCAGGGCTAGACGGTTTAGGGTTTAGGGTTTAGGGGTTTAGGGTTTAGGGTTTAGGGTTTAGGGTTTAGGGTTTAGGGGTTTAGGGTTTAGGGGCGAGAGGCATTGAGACGCCCTCGAGATCAGAACCTAGGTTAGCCCTTTTAAAGCCTCGGAAAAATGCTCGAAAATGAGTAGATGAGTAGATCCCCCTGAGCCCAAGCAAGGGAAAATCCACACATCCCAAAGGCCTACCTGGAGAACTCAGGGCTTTCAGTCTGCAGGCTTCAGGCTTGGTAGTCTGGATCTTGGGTTGTGCTGTATAGGCTTCGGCCGAAGTTTCAAGGCCTCATCGCGGAGCCCTGAGTTTGCATGCCAGGGCTTGTATCCTTCTTCTTATGTCTAAGGCTGTCGGTTTCTGCGCAACAAATTACAGGAGTGCAACATGGTCAGAGTCGTATCCGAAACCCTGAATGCTTGCACCTGGAAGCCTCAAGCAAAAGTAAGCCTCCTCCTGTGCCGGCTTGGATTGAGGGGTGTAGTGTGTCCGTCGGCTGATGAAAATAGGGGCTAGGAAGCTCTAGCGCTTCGGGAGAGGATCCGGCCTCTTTCGGGAAATGCGAGAGGACTGCGAAGGCGTTCCATCGCTGGGCACCTTGGGCGCAAGCGCCAGAGAAGTACACCTAATCCCTCCGTTTAGCATCAACGTCTCTGCAAAAAGGCCCCTCCTCGCTTCTGATTCCGTCCTTCTGTGTCATCGCTATCACCGCAACCATCACTACAGTCATCACACATCATCTTCATCATCATCACCACCACCAGCACCACCACCATCATCATCATCATCATCATCATCCTGGCTTGCACTTCATTTGCTCGTACTCTGTAGTTGTTGGAGTTTTCTGGTGTCTTCCAACGTTGAAACAGCAATCTTCGTATGTCGTGTGCATTACATTCCTCGTCAGCACCACTGCTGTGTCAAAGTTACGGTTTCCGTTTCCTGTATTCTTCGTACAAGTTTATTCTGATGATGCTGATCTCAATGATGATGCCGATGATGCCGACAGAGATATTGTGGATGATGCTGATGCTGATGCTGTTGCTGATGCTGCTGATGTCGCTGATGCCCATGCTGATGCCGACGCCGATGCCGGTGCTGGGGCTGGTGCCGTTGTTGATGACACTGTTGTTGATGTTGATGTTGGTCTTGGTGTTGGGTTTGGTGTTGGGTTTGGTGTTGGTGTTGGTGATGGTCATGGTGTTAGGCGTGGTCGTGATCGCGGTGGTGCTGCTGGTGGTGCTTCTGGTGCTGGTGCCGGTGCTGGTGCCGGTGCTGGTATTGGTTGTCTGCTGGTGACGCGATAGCGAATCAGCATCAAAGCCAGTCTCCCTCTTCAGCATCAAACCAGACGTTAAACTTATGCGTTCAAGCCTTCGGGCATGGAGGATCAACGGTACGCGTTCTGCCGGAGTTGACATGCTTACATGCTTGGGCCGTGCAGAGTCGTAGTGTCAGAACATCGCCCAAACAAGCCACAGCTCGCAAAGGCAAATCCCGCCTCCCGCGCTTGCTCCGCCATGGCATTCGATATGCACCCAGTGCCATACCCAACACAGCAGGTCTGCACAGGTCTTTGAACTCAACTTGCCTGGTTTTAGGGTTTTCTTGTGCCACCACCACGACTCAGGGTGCCGTCCTGGTATGTATACTTCACGGTACGTCCACGAATCCTCTCTACTGCAACAAAGCGGTCTTGATGCGAGCACGTCTGTTTCGACAGTTGACCTGCAATAACTGCTGGAAGCTTCCAGAGTAGCTACCGGAGTTGAAGTGGCGCTTTGGAAATCTTGGGCTGCCAACTGGAGCCAACACAAGGCACGAAGCGTTGAACCCCCATCGTTGTGGCCGCAACTTGCAATGTTTTCGGTGATCCACACGAACTGTTGCTGCACTGTTGCACAACCGCGAACGAAGGAACTGCACTGCACGCTCCCATGACGTTTCCAGCGCTCATTTCCGTTCGAAATGTTCAGCTTGGAAGTCCATGTGTACAACTCCGATGAGGCAGCGCAATTCAAAAGGCTTAGCACCTCATGGCAGCCGTCTGCTCGAACAGCACACTGAGTGGGATCACGTCGCGAAAGATGGCTTGGAGGCTCCGCCGAAACAAATGATCAGATTATTACTGGGACCCACATCTTGAACCTTACAAACAAACACTGTTAAATACAACCACTTCACCCTGTACGCCGGGACGAATCGGATGCCGAGGCATCAGTCGATGTGGTATCCCCATCCTTGGCTGGCACTGGCCAGAAATCGCTGGCGAAAAGAGTGCGAGAGTCTTCAAAATTTGACGGACGCAAAGATGCAAAGTATGCCGCATGTCTGTGGTGGCATGTGCGTGTGTGGACGCACTGCGTGCTCGGCTCTCACATCCACCACTGCATGTGTTGCATCCTGCTTTGCACATACGGTATGAAGTGACCTACGAGCATCCAGCGCCAGCATCTCCAGCTCCCAGTACGCTTGCACTTGCAATTTGAAGGGACCAGACCGTGGAACGAGGAAAAGATTGGACCCTCCCAACGTTCATAGCCTGCCCTCCCTTCCAGATCTTGGTCCTATCCGGACTCCCCTCTCAACCCTCGATCCAACACCCTGTGACGAACACATCATTGGCTGTGCCACGAAGAAGCGCTCCGCTCAGTTGTATTACCGTGCGCAGTAGGCTGCTCCAAGGAAGCTTTCTAAAGACTACTTGCGGCGCAGGCCCAGGCCACTACTTTGTGCCACGTCTCTTCGACCGGTGGCTCGGCGAGGGTCCGAATGAGTTTTGATACTTAGCCAATAACCTTTAAGAAGTTGACTCCGAAGCCACGAAGAAAGCTTCGAGTGAACGATGATTGTTTGATGATGCCTGATGTTCTGGAGATGGTGTTCCGTTGATTTGCTGACGGAGGTCGATCATATTGGTCTTTCCACGACTTTCGAATGTGTTGCAGTGAAAGTCTTGAAGAATAAGCTTCCATGATGATTCTGACGAATTGTACTTGACGCCGCTTGTTTTGCGTTGTGCTGCGGCTGCTGAAGCAAGGCATAAGGTGTGGGAGTTTGTTGGTGAGATTAGGGTTTCAGAGGTCACGTTTTTTAGCGAAGACCCCAATGTACGTTGTCCCACGACCTCCCTGCGTAGGGGGTCGGCCAGGCGTCCAAAGACCGTGGGAGCCTCGAGTCTCCGAGCATTGTGTCCAGGGGTAGGTTTAGGGTTGAGGGTTCAGGCTTTAGGATTTAGGGTTGTTTGGTGGAGATTTGGAGTTGAGAAGAGGTTGGAAGCATCCTTGATTCTGATGGTAGACCGGGGTTTGAGGAGTGTGTGCCGACAGTTTAGCAACTTGTATCTGCAAACCCGGACGTCGTTCGTAACACTCTGTACCACGAAGAAATTGTGTTTTGTTGAGTGGAGGATTGCTACTTGCCCATCTGCAACAAATTCCGCTGGTGAAAAGGCTCTCCTAGCCAAACTAGTGGGTGTCGCAAACAAGACTGCAGCGCATGATTCAAAGGTTTGGACCACTCGATTGTGAGGATCCAAAATGTGCTCGTGTTCACAGTCTCCTAAGGGACCTTGTTTCAACTTTTTTGGGCTTGTCATGATCCGCAGGTGCTCCACGTTCACGACGACGAGCGCATCATTCGCGCGATTGAGGTTTCGTCAAGAACGCGTTGTGAGTGTCACCTGGTACACGAATGTGACGTGCTGCTGCAATCTGCTTCACCTTCCACAGACTGTAGGAGAGTGTGCGAGATACGGGACCTGATCTCCGGTCAGTTCTATTTTGCTCGAGCGTGCCAGGAGCGGTGGAGCCGGGAGAATGCCGTCGACCACCACAATGCGGACACGTTCGATCAGGCCAGGCCAGCGCCCTGTGCCAGCACCCTTCCGCTTGAACGAAGTCCCCAGCAGCAGTAGCATCGATAGCATCTCAGTCCCTGCATGTTTTGCAGGATGACAAGGTGGTCGGAGCGCGAGGGTGGAAGGCCGGGAGCAGTTCTTTACGACACGCTTGCAATTCTTAGCTGCGTCGGTGACTTTGTGATAAGGTGCTGAAGGTTGAAGTCTTGAAGTGTACAAATGTTGCCACCTCCAGGTTCGTGCACGCATGTGCACGCCTGCAGCACAGCTTGAGACCCATTGAAGTTCTGCCAACCAACTGTGGCTTCTCTCATTGTCATTGTTGTCTCCCACTGTTCTCACGGCCCGTCTGCACGTGCGCCTACCCCTCCCCGCGCCTTAGCATTTCTCTCAAGGTTTCGCAATCACGCTGGCAGGGGTGCACTGATCTGGCGCTCTGCAGGAGCGCCAGCATAAGCACAGGCAGTTCCCGACAAGTGTGGGTTCCCTCATGCCGGCTTGTTCCGACATTTGCCCCTGGATGATTCGTGTCAAGTGGGCAAATCCATCGATTCCCATAGGGCTTCAAAACCTCAAAAGTCAACACACACCGTAAACAATAGGATCCTGACCTCAACAGGGTACTTGGCCTGGTCCAGAGGTTGTCTACTACTGTGGCCTGGTAAGGTAAACAGAGGATGGTCGAAGTGTGGAGACTAGGTGGACAGGAGAGCTTGCCCATCAGGTACATCCGTCACCAAGGGGTGTAGGTGCGGGGTGGGGCTGCGCGTAAACAAGGAGCTTGCTTCTTGATCGTCCAGACCTTGTACGATCTTGTTCACCCGAGTATCCCTGTTTGCCTGTTTTCTCGTGTAATGCCAAGTATAGTGCTGCCAGTTTCTGTGCGTTGCCCGTCGAATCCTCATGTCATGAGCTGACACTGCTTGGGTGCACTATGATGCTAGTTTGCGCGTTTGGAATGTTGTGTGATGCTGAAGCCTCCTTGCCAAACCCCTCTGACTCTGAATCCTTGCCTGGCTTGTCCGAGATCTGCGCGATGAAGCTCTCAACTATACACAAAGCCCAGCAGAACCTTCAGTCTGCCAGTGCATGCTGTGTTGATCCATTGAGCACGAAGGAGGGAAGGAATTCATGGGGACGATCGTGTAGTGAAGTGCCCACATGAATCCATCGCCAGCCGTGGACACCGCCCTCTTTGCCAACGGCCGCGGTCGTGGTCAAGCTCGACCCCTTTGACGGCGTGGAGCGGCTGGGTGCCCAGAAATGATCGAAGTCCGGGGGTGGTAGCATACAACTCAATACACTTGCATAGCACGGTACATCGTATATGTTTCAGATTTGCAGGGACACGTGAGGAATATGGGCTCAGTTGTAGAGTAAAGAGGCAGAGTGCCCCTGCTGAGACAACTTTTCCCGAGGCGAGCTGTGCTGTCACTCAGCCTTCTGAATCCTGCCACCCACGAGACCTGAAGCAACTTGCCTTTACTCGCGCAACCTTGACCTTGACCCCCTTCCCTGAAGGTCATGGCCTCACCTCCGGGTGCACTCTGCTGGCATCTACCCCCTTTGCCGAGCTCCAGGACCGCCTCTACCATTGTGCAAGCGTGCAAGCTCTCGAGCAGCCCACCGCCATGCTCTTCTGTTCAGGGCCTGAGGTTTATGCAGTCCACAGCGATTTCACAACAGTCGTATTTTTGTCCGCATTTTACACGTTGACCCTCGAATTGAGGTTGTTCCGCCAGCCGGCAGAAGTGGGAGGTTTGTTTCATGTCTTCCCGTCTTGAAGATCTTGCATGTTGCAACTCGGTTACACCCCCCCTGACAGGTCCTGGCACCGCGCTCTTGGGAGAACGGCCTCGCGTCGAGAAGTTGAAAAGTTCCGTATGTTCACCACGGCCAGGGCCCCAAGTTTTAAATGTTTTTAGCTACTCTGAATATCTAATCTAACCAATCCTTGACAGCTCAGTCCAGCATGGGACGGCATGCGAGTCAAGGAAGACGACGCGGCATGTGGACAACGACCACAGGCAGCATGTAGATGTGAGCGAAATGGTCCAAATCGTCAAGTTCTTGTCTAAAAACAAGATGACCTTGATGACCTACACCTGTGGAACTGGCTTCACCAAAGGCGACATCCAACCCACAGGAATCACCAGATCACCTACTATCGTATACTAAGGAGCATTGCTGCAATGTAACACTCGTATTGAGAGGCAATAGCAAAACTCAGACCAAAGGATGGATGAGGCTTATGCCACGGAACAATAGTAAAATGTGTGGGCCTGTGCCTGAATTTGCTTGAGCAAAAGCCTTTCTGGGGGTCCCCGTTCCAAGGCTCTGGCTTGGGAAGCGCGCTGCTCCACTGCCGAACCCCAGCTGTGTGGCATCACACGGCCAGGCTTCTGTCAAGCCCCAAACGCTCATCTGCAGAACCCAAGGTGAAACCGGCCATCGCAAGCAAAACACGCTTACGCGCGGCGAATTTCCACCAGAACAAGCTTAAGATGCACTTCGCTGCAGAAGCCAAAAGGTGAAACCGGGGCGCATGCAAGCCCCGTTATCGCAAGCAAAACACGCTTACGCGCGGCGAATTTCCACCAGAAAGAGGCTTAAGATGGTTGGAGGTCCTTTCGAGTCTTTCAAGACTAGCCATCAATGAAAGCCGCGACGTCTGTACAAGCTCCCCTTCGTCATGCAGCCACTGCTATCGTGGGCAAAAACACGCCCACGCACGGCAAATTCAGAACCACGTGAGTGCGCCGGAGATGTAATGAGATTAAATGGTTGATTCTGGTGGTTCGGGAATTGGGCCAACTGACATCATGTTGTCGTAGGCAGGTTCAACCGCATCCCTGAAGTCTTACATGCCTTGCATGTGTTGTGCCTTGGTCTTCGGCATCATTGCCAAGAAGTACAGCACAAAGAGTCAAGTGCACAACACAAGTGAGCTGAAACAGCTATGTTCACGCGGATGTCCTCTGCGGCGTAACAGGTTGTCAGAACGGGGAAAGCATGGAAGATATCATGAAGCCAACCATCTGGAGCACTCTCTTATTCGGACCGTTTTTTAATCTTCGGAGCTCGGAGGGAGCCAAAGCTTGATCTCGGACCCTATTTGTCTACTCCAAATGCGGTCATGAGGCCCTCACGAGGCCATAATCACCGGACGCAGTCTGCAAAACTGAGTCGTGCCCACACGTCACAGGCCGAAGCACGCAGCAAGCACGCAGACTGCAGTAGCAAAGATGTGGAGGATAGTTCAAGTGCGGTTGCTTTCGCCTAGACGGGCCCCAATCCAGGATCCAGCGGACTCTATCCGGAAGATATCCTGGCAAAAACTAATTAAATCATATCGAGACATGCGCACATCGCATGTGCATCAACTCACAATTCATCAAGCCGCAAGCTCTTGCGCCTGAGCGAGACGGTCAGGACCCAAGCTATTGAATGGCATGTCTCACCCTCTAACTCGAAACATGGAAGCTCAAGGGGCGTTTGGCAACATCCTGCAAGAACTGAAGGACCGAGGCTATCAAGATGCTGCACTTAAGTCTTAGGACCCCGTCTGCCCTTGCTTACGGCCTAAGCCTCCTCCTGTGCCGGCTTGGATTGAGGGGTGTAGTGTGTCCGTCGGCTGATGAAAATAGGGGCTAGGACTAGGAAGCTTTAGCACTTCGGGAAAGGAGCCGGCCTCCTCCGAGAAATGCGAGATGACTGCAGAGGCATTCCCTCACCGAGCACCTTGGGCCCAGAAAAGAAAACACAATACTCCCTCTGGCATCAACGCCTCCTGATCGCTTTCGATGTTTGTTCTTCTGGTTATCTGCTCCTCGTCAGCATCACTTCTGGATCATTACTGTCGAAGCTGCGGTTTCTGATTCTTGCATTCGTCGTACAAGAATGATTCTGATGACGCTGATTCTTATGATGCTGCTGATGATGCTGACGATGATGCCACTGATGGTTCTGATGATGCAATGATCCTGATGTTGTTGATGGTGATGGTGATGATGATGTTGTTGGCTGATGCCGGTGTCGGTGATGTTGTTGATGATGCTGATGATGATACTGATGATGATGCTGATAATGACGGTAGCGGTGATGCATTGCAGTTGAGAACTTAAGGCTCAACGGTTCGCGTTCTGCCGAAGTTGACATACTTACATGTTTGGGTGGCGCAGTGTCGTAGGGTCAGAGCATCACCCGAACAATCCACAGTTTGCAAGGCAAATCCCGCCTCCCGCGCTCTCCGCCATGGCATTCGATATGCACTCAGTGTCATACGCAACACAGCAGATCTGCGTAATTAGGCTATCGTTGGACTCAACTTGCATGGGGCTGGGGTTTTCGGGTGCCGCCACCACGACACACAATGCCTTCCCGGTTTGTTCACTTCTAAGAGGCGGTCTCACTGCGAGCACGTTAGTTTCGACAGTTGAGCAAATCCCGTGCAAGCTGCAGAAGTAGTTACCGAAGTTTGAAGTGGCGCTTTGCACATCTTGAGCTGCCGACTGGAGCCAACACAAGACACGCAAAGTACTGCGGCCCAAGCTGCACTGCCCATTGCAGCGGCCACAACTTGCAAAATTCCGTGTGGCTGCAACCACAACTGCGAGCGAAGCTGCAGCACGCTCGTATCACTTTTGCAGCGCCCATTCCCGTTCGGAATGTCAGCTTACAGCTCCAGTAGTCCCTTCCCCTACAATGGTACCAGTAGGGATGTAATCAACAATCTTGATATCTTTTAGCGCCCTCTCAAAACTGCAAACATCCTGCAGGTCTGCTATTGAGGAGAAGCGACTAAGGCTCTGTGGGTGCGCACCTGTGCATACTGTACCAACAGCGCGCCGTCGAGACTCCCTGCCACCTTGCCCTGACTGGACGGCTAGCTGTCGTCTTGACAACTTAGCTACGACCCCCTAAAACCCTAAACCCCTTTTAAACCTTAAACCCTAAACCCTAAACCCTAAACCCTGAACCCTAAACCCTAAACCCTAAACCCACGATACATCAGAGCTGTGTGCAGTTCTGGAAACATCCCGGGTCGAGTCCACTGACAGCCGAGACTTCTGCCCAGACCGGAAGTGAACTAAAATCGGGGGGACTTCTCTTTCTACTTATATACCTACTTTATACCCTATAGGTTTAGGAGTTTTAGGGGTTTGGGGTTTTGGGCTTAGCATTTGGGGGTTTAGGCTTTGCGGCTTGGGGTTCTGAACTCTTGTATAATATACCTACTTTCTACCCTATATTATATGTACCCTTAAGGGACCCTAGAACCCCCTACGGGTCCACATTAGGGGCCCGTACTTCCAACCTTGGATTCTTGGCGTCGACGAATTTCAGGGTCAAGACCCTTCTGTACGTTTGCGGAGCTTGGGTGTCCTGCGGTTTCCCTTGGACGGTCTTCTGCGTCCGGGGCTTGCAGGGCTCAGGGTTTCATTCTGTAGCCAGGGGCTTGTGCGCCACCGTCATGTCGCCCCTCTTCGATCTGAAGGCGCCGTTGAAGGGCAGCAGCAGCAAGCCCGTGAGGGTGGCCAGTCCAACGACGATGGCAGCCCACAAGGCGCATTTGGCCAAAGTCGGATTCATGGCCTGGGGAGGGAAGCTCGATAGATCCGGGATGGTCTGCTGCCGATACAGCCCCGCTAGGGCCCAGATTGCGACGAGGGACCATGCAAAATCGCTACGCACGGAAGCGACGATGATGGCGAGGGAGGCAACGAACGCAACCACCAGGACTGCCGCCCCCGGGGTTCCTGCGACTCCATACGCGTCCTTCCAGCCGAGCTCCCCAAGAAACGTGAACTTGTTTGCAGCGGTCGCCACGAGAACCCAGCTGACGTTGCATGCAATGCCAGCGGCATAAACAACCCATTGGACGAACGAATCCACGGTCATGGTGTTCAGGTCCACGTACACCAAGAAGAGAAATGCCAGGTAGAGGATGATGACCAAAAGCGCCCAACCAAAGAGCAGATTGACATAGATGGGCAGCCAAATCGCATTCAGGGAAAAGGCGAAAACGAGGCGCCAACGAACTGAAAGACCCGTCAAGCAGCAACTTTGCTGAAGAAGACTTTCAATCCTTTCTGGGGCTGAACATTGCATGACGACAAGTAGGAGCTCCAGGGTATAGATCACCGCCCAAACCTGAAGGAATCTTGAACACGCCTCCCCGATGTGAATTTTTCCGTCTATTATTATGAGGGTTTAGCTACGGAGTTCAAAACTTGCAAAGTCTGCCTAACAAGTGTTGAGAAGCTGCGAAAGTTAACCCGTCTGGAGTGACGTACGTCGGAAACTGGTCGGAGATCTCGCCGATCGACTGGCCAGAAAGAACCCCAGATGCTGCCAAACCATTAACTACCAAGCTGGCGATGTAGGAGAGCACAACAAGGGTCTTTTCCAGCATCACCATGCGTGCTCAGGCTAGTGTACTCAGGGCAGTTGTCCTCCAAAACCGAAAGCCCAAACGGCTGCCGAACGAGTACCAGCATCTGATTCATCGTCCAGCCGTCCCCAGCCGTGATGCTAAAAAAGTTTGACCTAAGCACTGCCACTTAGGTTCCGGGCGGCTTTGGCACGAACAGCTTTTTCCCCCGCCATCACGACAACGAAATGGATAGCAGGCAAAACTAACCCCGCCCCTTTTCGGAACAGGATGAGACCCAGGATCTGCCGTGAGAGCTCTTTTTGGCGTAGTAAGGGACCTAAGCCACAACGTAACCATCGATTGTGAGCGCAGAAGAAGCAATGGATACTGGGATCCCTGGCGGGCCACCGTCGAAAGCTTCTTGCAATTCTGAGGCCAAAGACCTGACCAGGTTTGTTTGGGGCAGAGTGCAGACGACAAGCCCACCTGCTTCGCTTGCGCCTGCGAGCCGTTCAACGCGATCTGCCCTGCATTCGACGGAGCCCCTCGGTGCACTCCATGATCGGGTAGAACCTTATAGAAGATCAGACGCGCGCACCCTTGACAACAGAAGCCCTGGTGGGCTGCCACACATGCCACGCCGATCACCACTCCGCCGAGCATGTTGCGTCGCGAGTATCGCGAATAAGAGCGCTGGCATGTCCATTTCACGCTGGCAGAAAGCAGCGTCCTTTTTCCACGAAAAATGCGAACGGAATCCGGCGGGCCATCACTTCGCTCGCTTCGCTTGCTTTGCTTGCTTCGCTTGCATGGTGGAGGAGGCTATCAGGCGCTTGGCCTCCGCCCATGAGATCGCCTGAATGTCACAAGCGCTTCGCAGACACTTGAAGCGACATCCTGCGATTCCACGCCTGCCCGCGGCTGTTGTTGACCCAATTCTTCAGCTGATCCTCGGGCACCGCTTCGGCTGCGGGTCATGATGCATCATGACTCACATGAGCATGGTCGCGCGAATCGCGGTGGCTGCCCAGCGGCTGGCTTGGGACGTTTCCCGAAGTGGGCCTTGTAGGCTACGACGAGGTCCTGTGCACAATGCCAAAAAAGGCAGAATGCCAGCACTGCGGTGCTGTATGGCGGAGTCTCCCAACCTCCCCAGCTGGGCGATGCACCTCCATGTCTTACAGCTCCGGATCACTACAACGACTGCCTCTGCGTCCTCACCCTCCCCCCCACGCCTCTTCCAGCAGTCGATGCTCCTCTTCGCGCTCGGCTTCGCGCAGCCGCATCAGGTGTTTCTTCTCCTCTTCGCGATCACAACGCCGCTGCCGCTCAAACCGGCAGGAACGAGCACTCGCGAGTCTTAACAGAGTTTGTCGACGTGAGCCCCGAGGAGAATGTTGCGACCAATCCTGAAGGAAGCCCCCCGCGTCGCAGGGAGTGCTAAGAAGAAACCCGGCTCCAATCTTAAAGCGAAGGCGAAAGAAGAACCTCAGGCTCACCGCAGTAAGCACCACCGCTCAACCCCGGAAGGACGGACAACACCGCAATTTCAAAAAAAAATCCCGCCTCTTCACGGTACAGCCACAGCCCGCCAGGCCCGCTTGCACGCTGTGGTCGCTGTGGCTCTGAGAGGCAGTTGGAGGGTTTTCGCAGAACTCAAAAAAACTTCAAGCTCGGGCATTGGCCTCCAAACCCTGAGCTCAGAACTCAACCCTCCTTCAATCCCAAACCACGTGGAACCTGCTCTGCAACCACCCTAAACCTCAATTGTCCAAAGAAGCGCCGTCGGGAATCTGCAGTCCCGGCCTTGCTGATCCTGCTGAGGACAGTCCTGGCGACACCGTCACAACTGGAGAACCGCCGGAAGGTGGGACAGATCCCACCTCGGGCATCGCCTCGCTGGCTTGCCCTGAGCCGCACAGCTTCGCATAGCTTCGCATAGCTTCGCATAGCTTCGCATGAACTGTGTGCGAAAGGGTTCGAGTCGAGTCGAGCCTGGGTCCTGATTCTCCTGCACTTCCTTCAGGAAGCCAATGAGCCTGATGTGCCTGTGCTCAGCGGGGCTCGGAAGCTTCTGCCACACCTCTCCTCATCTGAGCAACACTTGTCCGTGGATGCCCGATGGCCTCTGCGCGGCTCGGAGATCTGCCTGCACGGCCGGCGGCTGAGCCGGTTGCGCGTGCGACTGCAAAGCAAGGCGACGCAGGCTCCTTGTAGCCGTTCTTCTCCGCAATCGCGTCGAAGGCAATTCTTCGGAACTCCTCATACTCATCCTTCAAGATCTGCTTGTCGCCTGCCTCATGGTGTCCCGAACCAGCGAAGATTCGGTCAATCCTACGTAAGCACTTGCCCCGTCTTCGTGGAGGCAGCTTCAGTCGACAAGCCTGTCCGAAACCTAACTTCAGCTCCTAACTTCCACTGCCCCGCACTCCGGAGACAATTACACTTGGCCAGACTAGACGACATGCCAGCCGAGCATCGGCGAGCTGCAGCTGCAACTCCTGCTTCTCCACCGTCCTGGTCTGAGGGCACGTCTCTTATTCCGTGAGTCAGAATGCTCCCTCAAGGCGGTGCCTGTTGATGAAGTCTGCGAGGGCTGCTAATGGTAACGGAACCAGGCCAAGGTGCTCGCGCAGATCCTTCTCCTCCGAGTCTGTCTGGACCGCGGCCTATACAGCCGTGAGCTAAGGAAGGGGGGCATGGCAGGGCAAGCCCGAAAAACGACGGGTTGCACAAGACGGCCCTGGACAGTACTGAAATACTGAGAGAGCACTGACCAAAAACATGATTTTCAAGCCTGGCAGTGTGATCCGCGCGGGCAGTGAACCGCGACGCTGGCTCCAGGCCGTTCCTGCCGGTGCTTGGGGCTTCTAAGCTTGAACCTACGTAAACATTAAGGAGGGACGAAGTGTTGTTGAGGTGGCTGTTGACTGCTTTCACGCAACAGCACGGCAAGCTCGCAGCTTGGGCTTCATACGGCCAAGCCGTCTTCAACAGCAGTCAAGAAGCCTCCCCGACTTTGCAACTTCTTGCATGAAATTATCAGCTGAGGCATCGGCGAGGAGCAGTGCCAGCTGGGCATCGATCTTTTCGATGCGCTGAAAAGCCACGATATTCGCGGCCTTGTCTGCACTGTCTTCTGGACTTTGCTTCGTGCGGCTCGCTACACAAAGCAAGGTCACGTCCGGCGCAGCCTGCAACTGCTCGCATCGAGCTGCCCAGGCTTCCTGAAAGCAATCCGAGTGAAAGCCGGAAGTTCAGCAGCAGAATCCGGTTTACGATTTCCAGTCTCCCTCTGGCTCCTCTGTGGATGCAATGTTTGCCTCCACTTTGTTCGCCATGGCCTGGCCAAGGCATCGCGCGGCCTATCTGCAGCCCAAGTAACGGGCGCAGGTCTCTGCTCAAAACATCGCGGCCTCGATCCGACAATTGGAATCATCAACCTTCCGTGTGAGCTAAAGCTGACGAAGGGCCCACCACGATGCGCACATCCTCCACCTGGCCTTCTCCAAGCGTCGCTCGAAGTCCTCCGAGCGAGTTCGACTCTCAGGCTACGACAGCTACGAAGCTTTATCCAACTTGATCGTTGAATATCGTTGACTTGTCGTCGGGCGCCTCCAGCCTCTGCGTGACGCCTTCCAGCAAACTCAGGACAGGCTGTAGCACGCCTGAAGCAGGAAGCATCAGGGAAGCATCACAAAAGGCAACGGAATCAGAGCACGCTCAGCCGGATGCTGGCATCGGTGCCGGAGCTGGAGCTCGAGCCCTCCTGCAACGGAGCGAACAGCTGAGCTGAGTATCTCACCGCTGCACTTCGACTCTCTATAGGCCTATAGGCTTCCGCTGCAACTGCGATTCAATTTCACGCGCAGCAGCAGCAGCAGAATCCGGTTTAAGATTTCCAGTTTCTCTCCGGCTCCTCCGTAGATGCAATGTTTGCCTCCACCTTGTTCGCCATGGCCTGGCCAAGGCATCGTGCGGCCTATCTGCAGCCCAAGTAACGGGCGCAGGTCTCTGCTCAAAACATCGCGGCCTCGATCCGGCAATTGGAGTCATCAACCTTCCGTGTGAGCTAAAGCTGACGAAGGGCCCACCACGATGCGCACATTCCTCCACCTGGCCTTCTCCAAGCGTCGCTCGAAGTCCTCCGAGCGAGTTCGACTCTCAGGCTACGACAGCTACGAAGCATTATCCAACTTGATCGTTGGCTTGTCATCGGGCGCCTCCAGCCTCTGCGTGACGCCTTCCAGCAAACTCAGGACAGGCTGTAGCACGCCTGAAGCAGGACGCATCAGGGAAGCATCAGGAAGGGCAACGGAATCAATGCACGCTCAGCCGGATGCTGGCATCGGTGGTGGAGCTCGATCTTGAACCTTCCTGCAACGGAGCGAACAGCTGAGCTGAGTATCTCACCTGCGCTGCACTTCGACCCTCCACAGGCTTTCGCTGCCACGGCTGCGATTCAATTTCACGCGCAGCAGCAGCAGCAGCAGCAGCAGCAGAATCCGGTTTAAGATACCAGTTTCCCTCCGGCTCCTCTGTGGATGCAACGTTTGCCTCCACCTTGTTCGCCATGGCCTGGCCAAGGCATCGTGCGGCCTATCGCAACCCAAGTAACGGGCGCAGGTCTCTGCTCAAAACATCGCGGCCTCGATCCGGCAATTGGAGTCATCAACCTTCCGTGTGAGCTAAAGCTGACGAAGGGCTCACTACGATGCGCACTTTCCTCCACCTGGCCTTCTCCAAGCGTCGCTCGAAGTCCTCCCAGCGAGTTCGACTCTCAGGCTACGACAGCTACGAAGCTTTATCAACTTGATCGTTGGCTTGTCATCGGGCGCCTCCAGCCTCTGCGTCACGCCTTCCAGCAAACTCAGGACAGGCTGCAGCACGCCTGAAGCAGGAAGCATCAGGGAAGCATCAGGAAGGGCAACGGAATCAGAGCACGCTCAGCCGGATGCTGGCTTCGGTGCCGGAGCTGGAGCTCGAACCCTCCTGCAACGGAGCGAACAGCTGAGCTGAGTATCTCACCTGCGCTGCACTTCGACTCTCTATAGGCCTATAGGCTTCCGCTGCAACTGCGATTCAATTTCATGCGCAGCAGCAGCAGCAGAATCCGGTTTAAGATTTCCAGTTTCCCTCCGGCTCCTCTGTGGATGCAACGTTTGCCTCCACCTTGTTCGCCATGGCCTGGCCAAGGCATCGTGCGGCCTATCGCAACCCAAGTAACGGGCGCAGGTCTCTGCTCAAAACATCGCGGCCTCGATCCGGCAGGCCATCTCATCAACCTTCCGTGTAAGCTGGAAGCTGACGAAGGGCCCACCACGATGCGCACTTTCCTCCACCTGGCCTTCTCAGTTCGTCGCTCGAAGTCCTCCCAGCGAGTTCGACTTTTAGGCTACGACGGCTACGAAGCTTTATCCAACTTGATCGTTGACTGGTCGTCGGGCGCCTCCAGCCTCTGCGTCACGCCTTCCAGCAAACTCAGGACAGGCTGTAGCACGCCTGAAGCAGGACGCATCAGGGAAGCATCAGGAAGGGCAACGGAATCAATGCACGCTCAGCCGGATGCTGGCATCGGTGGTGGAGCTCGAGCTTGAACCTTCCTGCAACGGAGCGAACAGCTGAGCTGAGTATCTCACCTGCGCTGCACTTCAACTCTCTATAGGCCTATAGGCTTCCGCTGCAACTGCGATTCAATTTCACGCGCAGCAGCAGCAGTAGAATCCGGTTTAAGATTTCCAGTTTCCCTCCGGCTCCTCCGTAGATGCAATGTTTGCCTCCACCTTGTTCGCCATAGCCTGGCGAAGGCATCGTGCGGCCTATCGCAACCCAAGTAACGGGCGCAGGTCTCTGCTCAAAACATCGCGGCCTCGATCCGGCAGGCCATCTCATCAACCTTCCGTGTAAGCTGGAAGCTGACGATGGGGCCCACTACGATGCGCACTTTCCTCCACCTGGCCTTCTCAGTTCGTCGCTCGAAGTCCTCCCAGCGAGTTCGACTTTTAGGCTACGACGGCTACGAAGCTTTATCCAACTTGATCGTTGACTGGTCGTCGGGCGCCTCCAGCCTCTGCGTCACGCCCTCCAGCAAACTCAAGACAGGCTGCAGCACGCCTGAAGCAGGAAGCATCAGGGAAGCATCAGGAAGCGCAACGGAATCAGAGCACGCTCAGCCGGATGCTGGCGTCGGTGGGGGAGCTCGAGCTCGAGCCCTCCTGCAACGGAGCGAACAGCTGAGCTGAGTATCTCACCTCCGCTGCACTTCGACCCTCCAAGCCGCCTTAGGCTTTCGCTGCCGCTCCAGCGATTCCTCAAAAGGCGCTTCGGGTCAACAGGACTCGCAAAGAGAACTCCAAGCATCTGCAAGCCGAGAAGCCAGTCCGGACCTGCGCCCACCGCTCCGCCGGGCCTGGAGGGATGGAGAAGCTCACCCGACCCGACCACAGCTACCACCTCGTGGCCATCTTGGCTCTTGAGTCCCCGGAGTCTGGGGTGGCAGCACGGGATTCGCGCGGCTCGCGGGGCTCAAAGCCCTGACAGGCTGCGCCACGTGCAGCTTGGCAGAGCTTGAATTGCAAATCACTGCCCACGAACACAGCAGCGGGGCCTCTTCTTTGACAGGGCTCGCCTGCACAGGGACACCCGCACAGCCACGTTTAAGCTTGCACCCAGCTTAGGCGATCCGGAGGTCTGGCCTCTCGGCCAAGCAAGATCGGAAAAGGCCTCAGCCGCACTGAGCAGGCCATCCCAGAAAGCCACGGCAAACACGGACACACACACACACTCTCTCTCATATACACGCCCCATCATCAAGCTGCCCAAGAGCCAGCGGAGCGTGCATGTGTTGCCCCAGTTTTTGCTTGTTTGTGTCATCGGCAACAGCCGTGATCGGCCATGGCCTATGGACATCTATGATCTGTGAAAGATTCCGCTTCCGTTTCTGCGGCATACATGGCAGCTTGCGGCTGGCATGGGGGTCAGTTCAGGGATCAATGAGCTTCAAAGGCATTTGCGTGCGAAGCAGACCTGCATGCCCATACACAATCACAGGAGCCCACAAGACCACAGGATGAGTAGCGGAGCAGCTCCGAAACCTTGCAAGAATGATTTTCCATAGAACTGGGAGGGGGCAGACCCCCCTTGGCACAAAGATGCACAAAGATGCACAAAGCTGCCGAGGCATGTCAATGTGGGATTCCTTCTGAGGCCTCCCTGCATAGTGATTCCTGCTGTGCGGTTGTTCGAGTCTCACTCGTGGAAACGTGCAACAGGTTTCGGAAACCTCCTAGGTCCTATGCAGTCTGGCCTGAAATGTGCACTCAACTTCCGATGCGCGTGGGCGCTCTACGTCAAGAAAAGGCAGCCCGTGCAATCGGAATCGCAATCGGAGTCGACCCACGACTCAAGAAAATGCGTCTCTGAAGAGGGCAGGCACTACAAACCATGGATCAGGAGCATGGGAAAAAGGCAATGTCCACACCAGGCAAGACAGATAAAAAGGCCCGAGACTCAGGTCACGGCGGGCACGGGGGGCGCGAACGCACCTCCTTCGGCGGCGTGCGACTCACCTCGGCCATTTGCTACAGCAAGCTCGGCTCTGTCACCGGTGGCTTTACATTACTAAGTCGAGGCTGCGGCAGACCGAGCGGCAGCGCCACGAGCTCGCCGAGGGGTCGCGAACTCATCGCGCACTACCTTGGCACTATCCATTGACGGATCCTGCAGTCTGGCAGTCTAGCCCTGCCGTCTTGCAGCCCCTGCCTTCCGGGTCACCGAGACCACCCGCTTGGGCATGGTCGTGTACACGATTCGACCCGGCCTGGGCCCAGCAAACTCCTCACCCAGGCAGCCGAGACAACGTTGAAACTCAGACTGCGGCACGTGAACAGGCGCACCTCAACGCCGCTTTACGAGTGCAACGTGACTCAACATTTCCTTCACCGCTGTTTTTGGGTGCCCAGCAGACGTGTCGCGATACCTCGGGCAGTTCAGAGCAATCTCGCAGCATCACATCCCAAGATCGCTTCGCTCCGAGGCGACTGATTGGATGTTGCCGAGTCGCCACCGTCGCGCCGGATGACGCCGCCCTGGGCGACGCGACGCGGCAAGCCATGGCTGCAAAGCTGCTGCGAAGCCACGGCTGCTGAGACACTTTGAACCAATCACCAAGCCAGAAAACTCGTATTTAAGTTCTCAACGGACTTCAGCGCGGCTACTGGCATGATAGGTAGCAACGATTGCAGACGCCAACCGCAGCCGGGGTATGGACGGCTTTCGTCTTCATCTTTGTCAACCACAGCACCTTGCCCGCCTGCAGCATACAAAACTAGTCGACATGGGCTGAAACGGTCACAGTCGCAGTGTTGACGAGTCGGTTCAGGAATCGACGTTGGCTGTCGCAATGCTGTGAAGTTAGCTGGTAAGCTCGACTTGCGACTCGGAATGTTGATTCACTCCGCCTTCGTATTCAGCATGACCACCTACAGCTCGTGCGCACCAAGCCTGCCATACTAAAGTATTAGTCCACACATCCAGTTCGGGTGCGGTATGACAGGAAGCGAGAGACCTGGTTAGCGTCGCCACTTAACTGTGAGTAGGCAACAGGAGAAAGGGGGCCTGATGAGCACATTAGCACATCTCTACAAGTCGGAAAGGAAGTGCTGCGCGATGCATGATGCTGGCTAATCCTTGCTCATGTTACATCGTCTGTGCCAGGAGTTTTCTTTGTCGGGCATGGCAAGACATGCACGACAGAGGCACGAATCCCAAGCAAATGCATCAGCGCCGTTGTTGCACAAATCCAATCTTGTGAGCTTGTGAAATTGCAGTTATTCGATCAAAACTTACTGTATGCATGGGGGGTGTTGGACGTGTCCTTCTAGAGGATCAAGGGCTCCGGCTGCATAACTTCGCTTCCATGGAAGCTGCAGAACACTATGAGCATCAGCTTCGCTTCGCCTTGCCCCGAGGCCGGGCATGCCGCAGCCGCCATTCGTGTAGGGTTTAGGGTTTAGGGTTTAGGGTTTAGGGTTTAGGGTTTAGGGTTTAGGGTGTCGTTGGCCCAGAGTCGGACCATGCACACATCTCAGTATGGAATGCTGTGGCCACTGCGCTTGTGCCTCTAAATTCTCGGCACTCTCGCCAGACAAAGACCCAACCTTGCCCACAGCAGCAGTAACAACTCAGCAAGCTGAACGCGAGGCAACGACTCTTCAACATTGCCAACTTGCAAGCTTTCCATGTGGCCAAGGCTGTGGCATCCCATGTGTCCCGAAAGGACAATTTGGCAGATGGGCCTGATCTTAGTTGAAACGAGGGGATCCTGTTAATTGCAGCCGTTCTTGCAGCCTTCATCAGAGTTTACGAGCAGAAAAAGAGCAATGAGTGGAATCATGGCCTCTCTGCTCTTCAGAAACGGCTGATCGTAGGTCCTGGGTTCTTGGCCGGGCAGGGCCTTCAAGACGGCATCCTGCAGAGCGACTGTGAATGCTTCCACAGAGTCGCAAACTGCTCTTGCCCAGGCCTCGTGTGTGACAGAAGCTCTCTAACTGTCGCACCTTCGCCGGGTTGATGCAGGAGATGCGCTGCTTCGTTGCTTGAAAACTTGAAAGTTGAGGCCCAAGCACAAGCACATCATCGCCCGTGGGCTTTGAGTGGACCTGACTTGAAGCATCAAACTGTGGGCAATTGGCTGCCTTCGGCTTGTTGAATTCACCTTTGTAGGTTTGTGATGTCTGCGATCTACGACCAGCTTGTCAAGAGACCGAAGGCTTGGCTGACTTTAGGGTTTAGGGTTTAGGGTTTAGGGTTTAGGGTTTTAGGGTAAGGCTCAGTAAGGGCAGGGAGCAAGCGACAATTCGTTTGGTACGTTTCACTCCCCAAACCTCAGACTAGCATAAAAGCAGAAACCCGCAGCACAAGAATGGGCGCGCCAGCATTAAAAGGCAAACCATCAGCACACCAAGAGAACCCATGGGCATAGCAAAAAAAACATGGCGCCAAAGGGATGGAGGCATGGAGGCGGATGGAGACATGGAGGTGGATAGCACAAACATAAAAAGCCTAAGCATAAAAATAGCCACTAGTCATGACCCAGTCCAACAACATGACAAAGCTCCGGTCCAGAGCAAGCTCTCGTGGCCTGGGGTTATGCTCTGCACCTCGCCAACAAGAGCACCAGCACATCCCACAAAAACCGAGCCTTGCACGGGAAGTCACAGTGTCATCAGCTCCTAGAGGTCCATCGATCCAAAGCTGCAGAACACAAAAGAAAACGTACCAGACTTGGCAGTCTAAGTCAAGAGCGGCCTGCTTTGGGTTCTCGGTTCTCCACCTGGCAGAACAGCACAGTCGGCATGCTCAGCGGCTAAGGGCGGCGCTAGCGGAAATTATCCTGATGCGTAGCGTGACGAAACATGCACGTGCCTGGACCTTGCCGCCACCAGGAAACCATGATTGGGGAAGGGGAGGATCGTGCACACGGAATGTTTTGCCTGCTGAGTCTGTTTGAAATGTCTGAACTCATGAGCGACATGGCGCAATCGGATTTGTCTTCACAACATTCCTTGAATTTTCTGATCGGCTGCTGGGAACAGCCTGAACGACAAGGCCTACGATACATGTCGTGGTCAAGATAGCCCCTTGTTTCACTCGAACTCAGGATTCCAGTGCACCGGCGCCCCGAAAGCTCTCCCCTAGTGGGCCGGCCGGAAGCTCATCTTCTGTGACGGTCAGCATAACCAGCTTGTCTTTGGCGGGCTTGAAAATGGCAGCGAATGGGGGACGAGCATTGGCCTCTTCGCTCCCAGATGGAAAGTGCAGCAACTGGCTGCAACCTTTCATCTGCAAGTCTCGGTAAAAGGTATGGAAAGATGTTACAAATCCACATCGGTCACCCCATCCCGGACATTGCTGCAGCCCTTGAAGAGTACAGGCTGGTGACTTTCTGTACACGGCGCGGCGGATGTTGGCTGCGGACTTGTACTCCTCCGGGAAGAAGATGAGGACGGTGGTATAGACTCCGGCATGTTCGGCTCCAACGCCCTCCATGCGATCGCGCATGTTCATCGTCATCACACCGCATGACGGCTGCGTGACCCGGAAAAACCAGGAGGTCAGCAAGTCGTTGGCCGAGACGAAGGGAGCATCCGGCTCCGATGCAAACGCCTGCTTCTGCTCCTCGATCCACTCCTTCCTCACAAAGCGGATGCGAAAAATGGGCTGCTGCGACTGCCGCTTGGCAGAGCGAAGCTTCGCCGACATGAGTTGCAGAGTCCAGAAAAGCCACTTGCCATGAAACGGAGCATCCTTCAAGCAAGTCCTGGGGTTGAAGCTCGCTCGTCTTGCCTCCAAGCGCCAGACTCTGGCACTTTGGTCGAGCATGTTGTGGATGGTGTAGAAGGTGTAACCATCAGCGATCACATGGGACATGGAAAGCAATAAGCTCCAACGCCTGTTCCCAGGCTCGGTGAGGGCCACGAGCCTGCAAACAGGCTCATCTCTGTCCACGAGATCGGCCCCGGATTTCACCCAGAAATCCGGCGAGAGATTCTGTGCCACCTCCGTCTTGGACCCAACCGAAACCACTTCCAAGAAACCTTCGAGTTCAATTCCACCACAGCAAAGGGCGAGCTTTCCGTTTCCGGGATGAGTCCTGAAAGCCAACTGGAGTTGAGGGCGCTAGGCGCTTTCAGCCCCTAGCTCGCCGGATTACCTAGGATTTAGGGTTTAGGGTTTAAGTGTCTCACGACTCTGGGTGCATCCTTAGACATCCTGCGATCGCAAAGCCCAAACCTCAACAAACAGCACTTCGCCGCAACGTTCCATCCCAAACCTCTAGCAGCTAGAACAACACCTCAGAAAGACACCTAAAGGACCCCTACATCAAGCCGAAGCCAGCAGACCCGAGGACATCCTGAAGAAGGACCACCCAGAGACTCTACCCTGAACCCAGAAGAGTCCTCAGCCGGCCCGCAAGCCACTGATTGGCGCCCACCACTGCAGCCACCCGAGCGCGGAGGTAGGAGATTGGACACGGCCCGTCGAAGACCTGCTGTGCAAAGGTCACCATCGCTGTTGAGTCGACTACTTACACCTCAAGATCAGGTTGCTGATGTTATGGAAGCCTTGTGACATTCCATGCAGCTGCTTACATCAGGCTGTACAAATATCTAGCAGCGCATACGCATCCATGACACGACCTGCATCGTACGATGATAACCCACGGCGACGCCAACAGAACCTCCACTAATACGCCCTCATCATGCAGTCCGGACATTCGTTCGTCGGCTACATGGACCTCGTCGATCATCTCAACAAGGAGATTTCCCAAGCATTTACTATGGAGATTGGACTATGATTTGAAGACTCATCAGTTCAGGCTGTTGTAGACTGCTTGCCACACCGCTTACACCCCACCTGTTTGCCAGCTTGTGACTGATCAGCACTTAGACTTTCAGTGGTCATGGTAGGATCCGCTGTAGTGAGAAGCTTGAGCTGAACAAAAAGTCTGGTTGTGCTGCAAGGTAGCCACTGTACAAACCCACAGGCAGCCGATTGAAGACCTCCATTCTTGAGACACAGATGACTCTAGAGGACAGGGTTGGGAGTTGTGAGGTTGGGGATCTCAAGGTCTCTCAGCTGTTTGGGCACGGGGCTTTTTTCTTTGCAAGTGAGTGCGCCATGAGCCCCTCCCGCAGGATCCCAAACCTTGCCTTGCGCCTTAACCCCCCAAGGCCCTCTTCCCTATCTGCCCTGTGCTTTAGTTTCCTTTGCCGCGCGAGAGTCGCAGGTTCAAGCTTCTAGGGGTGGGGTTGCCGGGCAGTTAGGGGTGGTTGGGATTGTGTCGGCGCCTCAGCTCGCTTTGGTAGTTTGTTTTTTTGTGTTCCGGGTTTCCCTTTCACTAACCCCTTCGGTTACCCTAGGCTGCCTTGTTGTCCCTTCCTCTAGCCCCCCTCTCCCGTTCGCCCAGGTCTTCTTCACTTCTCCAGTGGACTCAGTGGACTGCTCAGCAGGGTTTTGTTTCCGGGTTTTTTCGGAATTTGGGTTTGCGGTTCCGAAGCCTCCTACGGGGGTTGAAAGTTGATAGACTCGTTGTTCGGTTTTTGAGGGCGCTTTAGGGCTTCTTAGGGCTTGCAGGTTTATATAGGGCTTTGGGTTGAAGAGCTATCAGCCGAGATGCTGTCACTGTTGACAGCACCGCCAGGCCAAGAGCTTGGATTTCGTGATCGCCAAGGGCCAGGAAGTTCTGGAAGTCCCTGCTCTCAACGCTTCTTATCTTGATGCCTTCGAAGCAGGTGCCGTAGCACAGGGCTGCCATGGGTCGACTACTGGTCTTCCCGCTATGCTTTCAGAGATCCATCTATTCTATTCTAGCTTCGTTACTCGAACCTGTGTCACAACATGTCAGGGCGTGGCCTGTGATGCCAGTCAATCGGACCAGAAATGATGCGGCGTCGAATGGAAGCGCAGCACAGCTCGTGTTGAGTCGTATGTTACAGCACTTACTTTCTTGTTTAAACATCTCTCCGTGTCTGCACAATCCATGAAAGGCGGGTAGCAATTCGGTAGGAATCATTTTCTGCTGTTTTCAGCGGCTCAGTGATACCATCAGCAGAAGCAAGCACGTGCTTCGGCGCAGGGATGTTGCAACATGTCAGAACCAAGATGTCTAGGAGGCGGTTTCGGTGCCCGGCACGGCCTCCCCCAGTGGACCTGGTGGCAGCTCCTCGCCCGATACCGTGCACATTGCGAGTGTTCCTGCACTTGGTCGAAAAATCACTGCACAGGGAAACTGCGCAGCGTCATAGTCTTTCCACACTGATGTTACCGGACAGTGCGAAAGCTGAGTGCAGCCATTAAATGCCACTTCGCAATAATTGGAGTGCCAAGCAGTAACGAATGCGAAACGCGAGCTTGAACCAGGAGCCTGACATGAGCCGTCGGGCATGCATGCTGGAGACTGTCGCGTCAACGCACGCCGAATGTTGGCAGCCGATTTGTACTCCTCAGGATAGAACATTAAGAGTGTGGTGTAGACTCCAGCATGGGCCTTCCCCAGACCAGGCATCCGATCCCGCATGTCCATGGCCATAACACCACAGGCCGGCTGAGTCACCGAAAGGAACCATGATGTCAGCAAGTCGCTAGAAGAGACATACATGGCATCCACTTCAGCAATGTGCTTGCTTTTCTGGTCCCGGAGCCACTCCTCCCGCACATACCTGACTCGAATCACCGGCCTAGCCTGCCTGGTGTCCTTGAACAAACCTGTCAAGAAGAAGCAGAAGCGTCTGACGACAAAGAACAGCCATTTGCCATGAAATGGAACTTGCCCCAAGCACGTAGCTGGATTGAAACTCACCCGCTCGACTTCCAGCGGTCGTACCTCGGCGCGTTCATCCAACATTCCGTAGACCATGTAAAGCGTCTGGGCGTCTGCCACAGCATGGGACAAAGATACATGCAGCTTCCACAGATGTTGAGTTGGCTCGGTAACAACAGCTATTCGACAGATCGAAGTGCCATCAGTGGCCGTTTGGTCCGTGCCTGCTTTGACAATGAATTGCGCGGACTCGCACTCCATTATTGCCGCTTCATTTGCGAGAGTAATGACTTCAAACAAGTCTTCGACGCCTTCGGCTTGAGGTTCATCAGGCACCCACGCGGCTAATTTCCCGCTCTGCGGATCCGTCCTCAGGCGTCCACCCAGCCAAGGATTGGCTGCAGTGATCTCGGCCACGCGGGCATGCAGCCATGCTGAGGGGCATGGACCCTTGTATAATGTCACCGTGGCAGGTGGAGGGAGCTGAACACTGTCAGTCTCATGGCGGTTCAATGCAACGAACTTGCCAGACAGCTTAGTTTCGCAGAGAGCTGGCCCTCTAACTTTCCTATCCCAAGCAATGGGCCCGCAGGAAAGTGCCAACAGCCCCGGCCTGAGAAAGCGCCGCGCATTCATGGCTGATACATGGCTGGACAAACATAGGGACAGAGCCAAGTAGCCTCAAAACTCTGCGACTCTGCGTGGTGCGTGAACTGCGCAACAGTACTCAACTGCATCGGCCTCCCCCGGCCTCCATGCACACACTCCCTTAAAAGCACAGCGCAAAGAGCTGATACTTGCCCTGACAACATCAATCATTAATTCTTGCAAAACCACCTCGACATATCAGTGGCTAGACGTTCTGCTCCAGAGGCTTAGCATCAACTTGTTTTTTGCTCATCTGCCTGCTCCTGTATGTGCTTTGCTGACGGCCACGGTTGCCTTCTGCAGTAACTGACTGCAGATTGTCGTTGACCGTACAGCTTGGCTCAGGGCTATCACATGTGAACTGAAGTTTGCAGGTCACCTGCGCTTCTGCGCGAGGGTCATGACTCAGACTGTTTCAACCAGAGACCGCTAGAATGCTAGAAACGGGAGTTTCAGGAAACCAGGGATCCTAATCAATAACTACAATAGCTGATATAGATCCTACTTGTAACTAGTAGAATCCTTGATTTAAAGAACTCCCGAAGAAAGCTAGAAATCAACATCAGGCACATACGGGCACTCAGAGAAGTGGCCGATGCGATTTCCCTCCAGAAGACATGCACCTGCCCAATGCACGGCAACAGGCTGCATGCTTTTGGCCAGGATATGTTCACTGGAGATCTTCGCAAATGGCAACAAGCCAAAAACACAAATCTTGGTGCAGACAAAGCACGTTGATTGAGATAGGCCATGTCGGCTGCTGAGTTCTGGTATCCAAGCAAACACTTCACCTGCACGAGAGCGGGATATGAAAGCAAGACCCATGTTGGCATCCCTACAGTAGAAGTCCTTCGTGCGGCACACCAAAAGCAACAAGCTGCAGGAGGTCTTGAGATCCATCATCGGGTCATCTTGCTTGCTCCAGGATTCAGCTTCATCACGACACATCACGACACACAGTTAAGGCGTGACTGACAGTGACTTAGTGGAGACCAAGTGGCATAGTGGTGTTTGGCAAAGTCGCGGCGCGTCACGGAGCGACAGTTCGTCGGACTGTGCCATCCAGCCACCTCCTCAAGCTCCCGGTCGGAGCTTCCGTGCTTGAAGTGGGGGATTTGCGCGCTGCAGCTGGCCATCATGTCAAGCACTGCATTGAAGTCCAAGGCATCCGCCAAGATCAGCTCCTCCTTGGCGAAGCGGTAAGTGGCCTGGAGCTCAGCGCACTTCTGTCTGGACAACTCCATCCACAGCGACCGGTTTTGTATCCAATTCGGTTCCAAGCCCTGCCCCTGCAAGAAACCAAGCGCGTATCCGTAGAGGTCGTCATAGAGGTAGTTCACATCGTCCAGGTGCGTCGTGAGAGATAGACCTTCGAAGCGGTACGTGATCAAACGGCCAGCGCTGAGGCCTGTGTAGGACGAGCTTCTCAAGGCCAGGATGCTGTCGACCACAATTTTCCCAAAGTCCTGTTGAGGACCTCGGTAGACAATCCAATATCCAGACGCATTGAAGTAGCAGAACCCATCAACGTCTGGATGCTCTGCCATCACATCGGGAATGGGTCGATAACAGTCTTCTCGGTGCGTGTGAAAGCGGCAATTGTTGCTGCAGTACCAATTAGCTTGCGGGTCGCAAACATCCGGGTGCAGGTGCCCGCATTCCTCATCGCGCCCTGTCACACTCTTCACCACATGTTCAAGCTGCAACAATGTCATTGCAGGGCCATCGGCACACCCGGCTCCGAAGTCGTTTGCGAGCCCGTGAAGGCCACCGAACAGGCCAAGCCAGCAAAACATTGCGAGGAGCGACGCCATGCTGGGAAATACGAGCTTATGCACGCAAGTAGCTGCTTAGCTCAAGGGGATTCGAGCTGGAACCATAAGACATCGGTAGCCTCCGTCCTAACCAGCGGCCCAGGGATGAAATATGTTAGACTGCAACAAAAGGACTCGTATATGATACATATTGTGCTATCTTGTATGATTTCCTATTGTTGTACATCATATTCCCCGGTTCCACGGCGTCGACCTCTTTCTAGGGCGTTTGCCCCCGCGTCGTCCGGGGTACCGTTCCACCAACAGCGCTTCCCTCTTTCGCGGCCCTTTTTCCACGTCGCATGGACACAAGGGGCTGCACAGTATAGAACTGAATGATGCTTGATTGGGAAACAGATGGCAAGGGTGTGCGAATAACCATTCCCTTGGGGGATCCTGACAACAACGGATTCCTAGCCTTTTTTGTATGGATCCACTTGCCATGCCCAACAAAGCAGAAAGGACTACAAGTCCCATCTGCCGGCGCAAACTGGCAAACCAGCACGTGGCGGGAAAGCACCTACCTAAGTCTTCTCTAACACGGTCCAGACTGAAGTTACCTGCAACAAAACAATCATACACGTCAAAGCAAGACATACAACAGACAACTGAACGAGCTAGAACGAGACAAGAAGCCATATGTGCAATAGACAAGGCCCTCTACATCCTAAGACGGCTCCCCGGCATCACCTCGTGGCGAAGATCAGAAAAATCTTGCAAAGCTTGGGCAGCTGGAAGGCCTCCTCCTGGGCCGCGCCAGGACGTGAACAAAGTGGTCATCCACCACCTAAACCCTTGAAGGGTGGTTTAGGGGCCTTAATAATTAAAATAGGGTTTTGGGGCCCTCTATACTATAAAGATATTAAGGAACCCACCTAGTATGGCCACACCACCCTACACTCCGCTTCCCTGATTCCTACCCGCCTCACGACCATCAAACCCTTCATCCCTCATCTTCTTGCCTCTGCTTGCAGCCTCAAAGAGTGATCATAATTTTCGGAACCATCCTTAGACAAAAGAACCGCCCCAACACCAGCCAAAATGAGGAACCCGTACTATCCGTTAAGAGATTTTCTCCTGCATCTTCATCACCTTGAACCCTTTGCCCTTGCAAAGCTCCATTATCGTCTGGACGCGGCCATCATCGCCATCGTGCACCTCTATCCTCAGTTGAGACCGCCTAGGCAAGGTTTCCATTCTGTGCTATGGGCCAAACACTACTAAACCGCATACACCCTACAACCCTAGAAGCCCAGATCCCTAAACCAACGAAACTTCCATCACCCAACAAAAAAAACATGCCTGGGAGGGGCCTAGAAACACCAGCTGACGCAGACAGGGCCAGATCTGCTCGTCAATCCCCATCAGGACGTCCCATTCTGCTCCTGGTGGGGGGTTTAGGGTTTAGGGTTCAGGAAGTATTGGGTCTCTTGGGGTAAGCTTCAACCATCCCCAACCCCGGAGTAAAACGAGACTGATGAACAACCCGGCCTTCCACGTCCACCTTCAACAAGTCCACAGTCTTTCCCAAAAGGCCTTGCTCCTTGAGAATGCTAGATAACGTCCTCACGGGGGTTCTGAACACCAGCTGCCTGTTTCCAGACAGGCGTTGCTGAATCTGATGCAAGATCATCAGTGGTGTGAGCGCTAGGAAGATGGGAATGCGGAGCCATGGGACTCCGAGAAGCTGGCAGAGGAAGCGTGTGGGAAAGGCGGGAAGAGCACCAAGGGTGACAGAATCCAGATACATGGCTTGTAGAAACTGGATCTTGTCGATGTTGCTAGGAAGGAACCTCTCAGGAACCAAACTGCTCCCCGCAAGCATTCGGCTCTGATATGTCAGAGGCAGCTCGGTCTCGTGGGCTCCCAGCGCAGTCTGGTGGACCACGACTCGTGTTCCATCCGGAGCCTCGGGAAAAGCAAGGCCACACAGCTCCACACAGAGCAGAAGCTGAGCTGTGATTCACAGCAATCAAACACAGCAAAGCCTGAACCAGCAGCCCTAAACCCTAAACCAGAAATGTTAGACTCCCTAAACCCTAAACCCCAAACCCTAAGCCCTAAACCAGAAGCCTCAGACTCCTGAGGTGCCAAAAGGCATCTCGAAGGAGAGTTTTGCCATCATGTGCACGGAACACGACGCAGCCATAGCTGGCCAAGTTGAGGGAAATGGCGTTCACCAACAAGGGCAAAGGCTCGAAGATGTGTATCCTGTGACTTCTAGATTTGACGAAGAAGTACCCCAGACCAAAAAAAAGCTACCCAAAACAACTAGGAATCCCCAACCAACAAGTAAGTCCCCTAAGCCCTAAACGGTCCCAAACCCTAAACGCATCCTAAACCTCCTAAGTTAGGAGCCCCCTCCTCAGAGGGTAGGGCCGGCGTTTAGCACCCACTGGCCTCGAACCTCTGAAGTGTTCCGCCACGAAAGCAGAGAAGAATCCAAGGTTCCCACCCACATCGAGTACCAAGGGCCCGCAGGGCCCGCGCTCCTTCTCTTGCCGGTCTTGCCGGTCGTCAAAATCGTGTAAAGAAACTCCATGTTTGAAGTATACCTTCTTGCGAAAGATCTCCTCGTAGATGAGCTTGCTGGAGTAGTCTCCACTGACTACGTGGAAGGCGTGCTGGCCAAAGCGTTGAATGACGAGATCCTTGCCAAACTCGCCACGAATGCGGTAAAAAATCTTGCAGCTTACAGCCCACAGGATGGCGCCTGCAGCGAAAGCCGGGAAAAGCCAGATGCAAGTAGCCTCCATTGGCGGCAGCATACCTCGACCCGAAGTACCTAGGCTTTCAACCGCTGTTGACAAAAGACGTGAAATGCTTACCGACAGATTCCACCCTAAGAGCACTCGCACAGCCAGCGACAATCACCGATTTGATCCCCATGCTTGCAAGCATGACAGGCCGTGAAATGGCTCCTCGGTCCTAAGCTGCGATCTTCGGTACCTTGCTGTCCTACACTTTAGGATATGCAACGCATGCCAGAACATCTTCCTGACCACATCCTACAGCTCACACAAAGGCAACCCTTTTTAAATGGAGCCGATGCCGGTGCGCTCCGCTTTTCATTGCTAGGCTAGGAAAGGCTGGCTGTTCCAGTCAACATGGTGGCGGGAAGTTTCCCGAATCACTACACTGCTTGCGTCATCTTGCTCGCAGGTGGCAGCGCAACTTTCCCTCCGGCTGCTGGAAGTAAAGTTGACAGGTGACCCTTGCAGGTCTACACATGCTAAGGTCTGACAGACATTGCGCATGGCAGCACAAGCAACTTCTGAGAAGCAAACTGGCCTTTCAGAAGTGCACTGATTCAACAATGAGGCGCAAGATTGCTGGACACCACTCACAGACGGGCGTCGTTCAGGTAAAACTCTGTGCTTCCCTGGCAACCTGCGGCCCAATCGAACATGTGGTGCATCTTCCTCTGCACGAAACGCCCAACTTCAAATGTGGCTGTGCTGCTTGCAGAGATGCGCACAGGGCTTTGGCGCAACATCGGATGACTGTTGAGAACCGTATTGGTTTGGCAAACTCCTGAAGCCTACACCAGGACAAAATAGGTCGCAGCTGGCACAGGCAAAGGCAAGGAGCTAACTTGCAGCAGCCTTTGGCTGGCAGCTTCTGACCTGAATCCTTGGGCTACCACATCTCAGACTCTGAGACTGTGGAGCGTCTTTTGAAACACAGGCTGGAGGGAAGTTTCTTGGGGGACGATCTTCTTCCCTTCCACCAACAGCCGATCGGCTTCATCACCAGAGAGTCGCGCTAATGGAGCACGCCCTTCAGATCTGCTTTTAGTCTTCGGATTGGATGAATCAATGCTTCACGTATGGTCATGGGCGCCATGGGAGTCACGGGGTCTAGGTTCCAGCAGTTTCGAATTGCTCGCGTCACCTGAGCAAAAAAATGAAGTTGGACAAACACACCTGCACCGCCCTGCTCAAGCCCTTGCCAGTGCAGCTCTCGGCCCAACTCTCCAAGAGACAGGAAGTCTGGATACCACCATCCTCTGACTTAGCTGTGGCATCGGATGTTGACTTTGGACTGGCAATGCGGCCCGTGCAACACAACAGCGATCCCGAAGGCACGTGGAGAGCAAGGGCTGCTGGACCGCGTGACAGCACCGGTACTTGAATCTGCAAACTGTACTCATGGGGTTTACAAGGGTTGAGAGTCTAGGGTTTAGAGTTTGGGTGCAGTGCAGTTGAACATGGCTCACGAACTTCGCGAAAGGGTACCCGCTCTTTTGCAGAGTCTTGCAGAGCTCTCTTCATAGCCCTCTCCAGGTTCACGGGACCCTTTGTTGATAGGTAGGTATATCCGTATGTCACCTGTGAGATACCTCGTCGATGTCGCGACAGAAAAGGTGAGATCGTGGAAGGTCCGGCCTTCTATCTTCTTGCTTTCATTGCTCTTTTCTGGTGACAGCTTTTCGCGGGGGTGAGCTCACGAAATTGAGGGATTAGTTTTGAGGGTAAGATCAGGTGACATGTGCTTCTCCCAAAGGCATAATACCTGTTGCTGGGAAGCTGAGGATCTTGCCCCAGTCGGCCTTAAAGTACTGAACAAAACATGTGCTCTGTTCAGGGCCATACAAAGACCTGGGCACGCAAGCTAGAGCGGGGTCCAAGGTCCCTGCTCCAACTGTCGAATCTGCTGATCTGCAGCCGAGCACCTGTAAACGTGAGACCTGTGCCAAACCCCCAAACGCTACGCGGGCACAAGTAAGAGATTCGAACGATCAGCCAACGCCCGCGCGCAGTCTTCAAGACGGGGCCCCCCTGCAGCAATAGGGCGTATTCTGATCCAAGAAAAGGCATTGGAGCCACAGCGCGCTGGAGCGGCTCTGGGCAGTCGGGTAAATGGGAGCCTTGTGTACAGGACAAGTGCTCCGAAATCTCAGCTATGGCAGCTACGGCGGCTACGATGATTGCACTGCGGTTTTACTGTACCTTGGCATTTCTGACGCCGTGGCTGCACATTGACTTATATGGCAATGGATTGCACTGGATTGGAGGCCCACATCGAGGACTCAACACGGAAGGGGGAACGGCTAGCCGAAGCCGAGGCACGGGGCCAGAAACACGTCACCCCTGGATGCAGCTACAAACTATACAAAGCTACAAGACCCCCCGGGCCTTCCGAGTCGTCTCTAAGTCGTTCTTCAAATCAACACAACAACGTCGGATCTCCCCTGCCATGGATTGGATGCAATGCTGCATCGACCGAAGGTCAGGCGCAGGGCATGGACGCTGGGACCAGTCGTGGAACTGGTCCCCGCTTGATTCCACTCAGTTTGTGCCTGGGCTTTAATGCCTTACCTCAGAGACTTAGCATCACTTGCATCTTACTGCGAAGAATGCCTCCGGCAAAGAGCGCTCTACATATTTGCACCAAAAGCTTGCTGAAGCGATGCACACCCTATGACAGCCCGATGTGGCTTCTCCAAGGCCTGGCAGGGGTGACGACTTTGGTACTCACGTTGGCCTTTGCAGTTCGTGCAACGGTGTAACGTCGCATCTCTGGATGATCCGAAGAGCGCTGGGAGCGCTGGGAGACCGTGCGAGAGCAGACAGCACCTGAGACACAGCGCAGAGAACGATTAGGTTCGGACGCGCGGAAGGCAAGCCCAAGCTCTGCCAGAGCTTCATGACAGCTTCAGAAAGGGCCTCTGCGAGGCAACTTCTTTCCTACAGCCTCAGAGGTCCTGCAGCTGAGCTCTGCAGAAGAACAGACCGAATCCACGGCACTTTGAAGAAAAGGCTTGCAAGGGAACTGCGATCATCAGTTGAACCCGAGGAGATAGCAAAGAGAAGCTCAGCGTCCAGGCATTGCGTTCTTCTGTGTGCAGCTGGCGCCAGCAGGCACAAGGCACGTGTGCCTGAAAGGCCACGAGCCCCTGAAAACGGAACACCTCTTGGGAGGGCTGCGCAGTTGACAGGCTGTGCCTGTCTCAGCTATCTTTGCCTAAAGACCACCCAGACTTTGAGGCAAACAGAGGCATTTGAGAAGGAGAGCATCATCGCTGTGTGCGTTAGCAATGCGCACGCACCAATGGAGTGAAGTTAAAGGTGGCGCCGCTGACATCTTGTTTGTGCTTTTATACAGTGTCGTTCAACTCTTTGCACTCCTTGCGCGAATTCCGTGAACATACACACTCATCAGCGGCAGGGGTTTCACCAAGAGAGGGCCAGAACCCTGACATGCCAGAACAATCTGAGAAATCTGCGCCTCACACTGACAGAGGCTGCCTTCGAAACTTGAAACTTGGGGCCTGGCCGCAAATGCGCAGAAAGTCTGGCACTCTCCATCAGAGCTCTGCTGACTCTGCAGACTGCGCATGCGCTTCTGCAGGCGATCGCCGCGGTTTGGTCCAGGAAAAGGAAATCGCAAGGGGCAAATTGCCATGCCTCGCTGCATGCTATGAAGTACATGCCGACTGGCATGTCACGCCCCACCGGGGAGAATGGCTGGGATCGAAGCTTTGCGGCTTTGCATGAACTGTCCAGCCCAAGTCGGAAAAGTTATCAGAGCCGGAAGCTCTATCTCAGAGGGCTGAGCTCTGCATCGCACTCTGAAGCCAACCATCATCACTACTCTCCGATTCACAGCAACAACCATGCGGGGTTGTGGCTTCAGTTGGGCATAAAGAAGATGGGCTGCAGAAAAGACGCTTACCAACGGGCTTGAATGCATAAGCCATAAGCTGAACAGGTGGGAAGCCGAGTCCGGACCAGCCACTGCATGCCCGTGAATCCACAGTGTAAGAATAGCAAATCAGCTGCTGGCTCGGGCTCGAGTTCGGAGCAGAGGCACGTCTGCCGGCGGAACGCACCACGAAGATTCTCCTCTCCTCCCCGCTGCACACTCTACCAAAGCAAATCTGCACAAATTACGCTCTCTGGAAGAGTTCATGGACTCATGGGTTTGCTTTTGCGGGAAGAGCTTAACCGTTTCACCAACAGGTGCATCGGTGCGAATCAAAGGTTGAGGCGAGAAGTATCCGCAAGGCATGAGTACACGACTCCTTGTGACTCCTTGTCTAGTCATGGCGAGTCGTCCCAACCATCGAAGAATTGCTGGGAGCTTAAGCTGTGCAAGTGAAGAGCTCAGCTCGACTGGACTGGGTGCAGCCCACAGCTGGAACGAAGCGGACGGCGCTGCCCAAGAGTTCCTTCATGAGGGTCCCTAAGCGGCAACCCGTTCCCGAGACAGCCCCGGAGGAGAATGATTCCAGGATAGCTGGACCTCCGCCAATCAACTCAGCAGGCAGGTCTTCAAGGCAGGGTCACCTGCAGGCCTGAAGGGCTCGCACAAGATGGACCCCTTTGTTCCGAAGGCAGCCTGCAGGTGTCAGTTGAGGCTCGGATGGCTCAGTACGCAATGCTTAGTAAGGGCAGACAGACTGCGAACGCTGCTTCCTGATCTTCCTGGCAGAGGTCCCTAAGGCCCTAGGCAGGGCAACCGAACGACTGCCAGGCTCAAGGCCCCAACACGAAGATCACGATGGCAGCAGCATCAGCAGAATGCAGCAGCCAGCTGCGCAGCGAGGGCCGAAGCCTTGAACTTTGCGAGGCGTCGCAACTTACACTCCTCCAACGTGTTGACTCTTGTCGCAACCCCAGCTTGAGCGAGAGCTTAGTATCGACTGTGGTTTCTTGCACAGTTCTTCACTCCCACCCTGAATGCAAGCAGCTCTCTGTCACTCCTCTGCGATGGGGCAAAACGGCCATCTTCGCCAGGGGGCCGTGGCGGCTGCAAGATCAGT